CCCTCTTTTCCCTTCCTTGTTACCAAATGGTGTAGGGGCACATATGAAAATTTCCACGCTGCATAATCTTGGGTGTGGCCATTAAAGTGTTTGCTCTTAGAGAGTGTATCAGAGGAGGTCCCAATTTTTTGTATTTTCTTTTATGGGAGGGGGGGGGAGCATTCTTTTTCAGCGTAGGAGAGCTAAATATGACAAAGGATGCACTCAGTGTTTCACACCTGCATTAAAAATTACTCTAATCACCTAAAAAATGCAGAAAAATAGCATTGTTCTCTTCTGCAGGTTCTTGACTCATTGTCTCATTAAGTTTCCAGATAATTAGTTATCACTTCCTGATTTGTTTTTCATACTCTGTCTGCAGGTGATGCTGTAGCACCTGTTGCTAACTGTTATGAAGAAAAATATGGTAGTCAAGTCAAGGAAGAGATGTCAGTAAAAGAATTTTGTGGTTACTGGAAGAACAGATCTGAAGGTATAGTCTTCCATGTTTTAATTGTTTTGACGAGGAGTGATGTTCTCATGAGAGAGTATTTTTTTGATACAGGACAAGGCATTGGGTTTTTATCCTTTTTGTTCATTTTCTCAGAATTGCTTTTGTGATTTGACCCTGAAAATCTCTGAGTTCTGGCATCAACCATGTATTTCAGTTTTTAAGGATAAAGGAGCACTGCTAGTAATTTGTTTCAGTACTGTTATACTTATAAATTTCTGTATTTTTTGAAGTAAGAGGACACAGTTTGAATCTTAATTCTATTCAAAAGAAAATGGTTTTGCAGTGTGCCATATGAAAGCTCATTTTTTTGTGTAATCAAACACAGAGGTCAAGCACCCTTGTTTATTGACTCTGTTGTTTCCAATTCAGTGTATTTGTGTTCTTGTTGTGTTCTACAGGAGACAATAACTCCACTCAAATACTCTATCTTAAAGATTGGCACTTTTGTAAGTAAGTCACTTCTTATTTGTTTGTCTGTATAGTTAATTTTATAACATTTTGGATTTCCTTTTTAGTCTGTTTTTTTTTTTAGGAGATTAAGGGTCAGTTATTTACACAAGGTCTAACCCAAACCATGGTTTTATGCAATCAGCGGGCCTTAGTTAAATTCCTCCATAACAGGGTTGATTTAATTAAATGAATGTCCTTCTACTGTTAGGTTTTGGCCATCTTGACCTTGTTCGCAAAAATAGATGTTTAGATAAAAGGTTCAGCTAAACTGGGGATTGTATAGGATGTGGTTTTGTTGAACAACAGCTAAACTTTGTTTAAACAACTGGCCCTAAATGTTATTTTCCTTTCCATTTTTAATTTTTGTATTTTTTTTAGACATTTGCCCACTCAATCTTTAATAAACTCACCAAAAAAAACCAAGATCATAGAAAAAGTCAGAGATGAAGCATGCAACACACTGTTTTAATTTTGGCAAGGGATAAAAAGACTTTTTAAGGAAATATTTTGCTCAATGTTTTTATAATGGCTTACATGGCAGGATATTTCCAACATGCAAGGCTTATGAAACACCAGTCTACTTTAAATCTGACTGGTTGAATGAGTTCTGGGACAGGCGCTCTGATGTGTCAGATGACTACCGGTTTGTGTACATGGGTCCTAAAGGCAGCTGGTGAGGTGATATGTTTGACATTGCCATTGCCTTATCATCAAGAGATTTAATCACAAATAAA